ACCTGACTTGAAAGGCACTGCACCCAAAACGCTTGATGACTCTCAAAAAAACTGTAAGCAAGCCCTGACCGAGTCAAAGCCTCCTAGCGAACCCAAATTGCACTGCACTCAGACCCAACTGATTGATTGAGTGAGTAGTTGCTACCCACCTAAACGTCGCAAGAAAGACCCCAGGCGTTAATAAAAGCAATGAACAACGGGTATCAAATTCATTGTCTTGAGCAGTTTGGTGCTTTCTTGCAATTCGTCGGGTTTCTCGACTCCAAGTCGTTTAGATGGGAAACCATCCAGGATCTGTTCACACAGCCGGGCCTGACACTCAGGGCGCCTTCTTCTTCTCATACAGGCAGGTGTGCTGCTTGGAACTGGGCGCAGTTTTGACAGTATCTGGAATGTACACTGCATTGTGGTGGTTGACGGCTTGTGTCTGAGCGGGTTCCTGTACATCGTTACCATGCTACCGTTCATTGGACATGCTTTCAAAAAGAGGCACTGAGTCTTGGCCCCGTCTGCAGGAAACATAAAGGATCGCCTCGAGAATCCATGAACCCAGAGCGCACCTTACCTCGCACTACGAATGCGCGTTCTTGTGACTTAGGCTGGCCGAGCGGCTCTAAGAAGGAGCTCTCTGTGATGTTCCACTGCGCATCCACCAACATGAAGTTGGCGGTGTCGCCTTGTGGCTGAGCCGGGAATGTCGTGGGCGGATTGTTGTATCCAGAAACATGTTGGGCACAGTTTTGCTGCATGGAAAGCTGCGGGCGCATCAAATTAGTCCTGCCAATTCTGTGCTCTACTGGGTACTCAGCTTGGAGCAAGTTGAGTGTTCTTCACATGACATCCTTCTGATTCATGATTCATGCTTTGCAAGCCTGCGCCATATGCATGGCTTGGGCTTTGGTAATTTCTCAGTACAGTCATCCATCTTTCAAGCCTCATGCCTCGAATGTGCATGACCACCCCTCACATCTCAAACCAAGAGTCAGCATTAGTCTCGATGTAGATGTAGGCCCTCGTTCTTCCCTACTAACCCATTCAAGTAGCCGTCTGGAAGCTTATGCTGTGCGATGCTGAGCACTGGGATCAGGGCATTTGTCATCTGAGATGCCCCAGCAAGCCGGCCCCATCCTGCACAAATCCAGGGTCAACGCGGTGTGGAAGAACAGGGGTGAATTGGTTGCGGCTTGGATTGGGCAACATGCGTGGTCGGAAGAGGCTGCACACAAATGTCAACAGCAATCTGACACAGCCTGATGTCGCATGCACCCCATACTTGCCTGCTTCCTTCGGAACATGCAATAAGGTACTCAGCAAACAGTTTGGGCGTGATGTTGTAAAATGTATGTTCTGAGGAGCCGAGAGGTCTCGGAGCTGCTGCATGAAACTAACCCTCTGAAACAAAATTGCTGCAAGCTCTGTTTCAACGCTGCACATCCTGCTTGAGATGGCAAGTAGAAACAGGCGCGGTTATGGCAGTCTTAGATATAGAGGCTCTGGAGCACATGCTCGGATAAGTCAGCAGAATAGGAAAAATGTAGGGACCGTCCAAACCAATGCCAACCTTGAGGCTGTCTGGGTTGCATCCATCATCTGGAAAAGTTCATTGCTGAGACTACAAGTGTCATCCGCGCCTCAGGCAAGCCTCGCGGGCCTCGTCCATGGTCTTGTAAGTTGTGCCACGGAGAAGCTTCCTTGAGGCATGGCTCTTTCGGCAAGAAGGTGCTGGAAGGCTGCTGTAGCTATTTCGTCGACTCCCGCTGAGGCTGTGTTGTCAGAGTTTGGGATGAAGCTTGACTGTCCGAAACATCTGAGCAGTACAAGTCTGACAGCTCAACTGATACCCATGCTTCAAACTCGTACTTGCATGAGTCTGCAGCAACTCTTCAGATGCTGATTGCAAGCACAGCAACGTCGACGTGAGGTACTTGTTCTTGATGACGTTGTAGTCATCCTGGAGGAGAACAAACATAGACGACTTCAAGAGCTGCAACACCCTGGTGCTAACGCAAAAGGCCGTCAATACTATACTTCCTGTATTGGGAACAACAAACACCTTGATGAGAGCAAACAGTTAGCATGCTTGTGCACCCGTCAAATGTCAGCACGATAAAGGAAAATGAAAGAGCCGGCCGCTTGAAACCTGACTGAAGCTCATGGCATCTCTGCAACTATCAACCATATGCCCGTTGTCCAGAAAGCCGTCGCACTGCACCCGCTTGGCACTCAGGACCTCCAAGTCACTGCACGCATTTAAGCACCTGTGAAGTCTGAACGATGCTCATGCAACGCTGAACAGACAAAAGAGTATGCGCGACGGAGCGGGAATCCTTGGAGCTGAGGCTTGTGCAGTCTACGCGTCTTGAGATCACAAGGCTTCCAGGGTTCCGCAAGTGCCCTGCAACAGATCCAGCCATCGATCTTCTTGACTTGTTCCAACACAATTCACGGCGATATGAGGCGTTATCTAGCTCTTCCGCAAACTCCTTCCGCCAGTCTTCTGCAGCATGACAGGCTGCCACCGCAAGGCTCTTGCCACGCGTATGGTTCTGGGAGCCACGTCCGCACGCCCTTTCTGGAAGAATTCGACACTGACTCTTTTGCCGGCGAAGGCTGCCCCTGATGCGCGAAGCAAATGTCGCTTGGAATCATTAAGCCGACGCTGCAGATAGGTTCCAGCTTTGTCCCTCAACAGTCTACGTAGTGCCACGAAACAGTGAGCATCCTTCCGCGCGCAAGGTCCTGCCTTGATTAATTCATCTGTTGGTTGTTAAGTCTGTTTGGCACAACGGGATGGCAGGACAGAGAGCGTCCGTGAGAGCAACTGAAAGGGTGAAAAAGCGAGGTGGTTGACAAGTACAGTGAGTGACTGAGTGAGTGATTGAGTGAGTGGGTCAGTCACGAACAGAGACAGGGGCGCAGAGAGAGAGAGAGAGAGAGAGAGAGAGAGATGCAGCGGAGCAGAGCGCCGTAGTAGCTGCAATGTACGTAGAATCTTTTCATAGTGCCATTCCTATTCCGAACAAAGCCATGACGAATGGGAAAACAGCTGAAATTAAAAAAGAACCGGTTCCGGCAAAATGCTGGCATTGGAAGGCTTGAAGCATCTGCTTGATAGTTTTTTGGGATTGCGGCCGGACGGCCGGTTGTTGCGGCCGGTGTCCGGCAAAAGTGGCCGAGCAAAGCAATGGGTGCGGGAAGCAATCATGGCCATTCGCTAAACCCTGGCGGCTTTCAACAGACGTGGATTACAGTTCACAAAGAAGCACATAAAAAATCTCATGGGACGCAAATTCGTGTTACGAAAGAAGCCAAAGGTAGATGTGAGAGCAGCAGAAGCATCAGGTGGCAATAAAGCAGTGTTGATAGGTGCCCATACCTCTAGCCCATTCCAGAGCACCACTAAGCTGTGCTCTCTGGCCATTCCAATTTAAGCCAAGCTCTACATTCAGCACCCCTGTACTGCAGCTTCCAACATCCAAAAAAATCCAGACTCTCGGCTCACAACTCTCTTCACCCCAAAAACATCCAAAAAGTCTCGGCTTTGTGCCATACGGGGCCAATTGTGGCTTGCATTTTCCCGGCATAAAGTTTTCGCGCACCGAAACAATCACAGCCTTGTTCGTCTCCTGGCCGCAGCAAACGCCTGTGCCAACGCCAGTGCCGATCCTTGTGACAGGGGTCCAGTTCTACTGTTGCGTTGCGCCCTAAGAAACCTTAGAAGCTTTCATGAAACCCACGGCTCCATGCTTCAGTTCGCCCTTGAAGCTTGGTGGTGCCCGTGACCATAATCAAAGAACGGCGTTGAGTAAGTATCAAGTATTTGGAGACCCGTTAATGGGGCTGGATTAATGGGCCCTTAACTCTCATTTGTCCAATGCCAGCGCGGGCCCGGCATTGAAATCACAGCGGCTTGGGACCTCGTCCTGCCTGCGCAGGTGCAGGAGGCAACAAAATCCCAGTTTGAAATTTGAGCCTGGAAGCCGATAACAGGAACATGTCAAACGGGCTGCGCGCGTGGTCAGCTTCCACGTGTGCGAG